ACACACACACACACACACACATACACACACACACACACACACACGACAACAACTGCAACAACAACAACAACAGCAACAACAACGACAACAGCGACAACAGCAACAGCAAAAATGCTGATTAATTAATTTACCTCCTGCGCTGAGTGGGGCTTCCTGCCTCTCCTCCAAAGGCACGGCACTGCCGGAGGACATAAGACTGTTGACACTCGTCTTGCGCACGATATCGCCGGCGTTGATCACCCCCTTGGCCGTGGTTGTGAAAGACCTGAAGGCGGAATGAACAAAGTGGCCGGTGAAAATTGGACGGCAACAACAGCAACATCAGCAAAACATCATCATTTTTATCATCATCATCGACAACAACACCATCGTCAACAACAACATCAACAACATTATCATCAACAACGTCATCATCAACAACAACACCATCATCAACAACATCATCGTCAACAAAAACAACAACAACAGCAACAACAACATCATCAACAATATCATCGTCAACAACAACAACAACAACAATAACAAAAACATCATCATCAATAACAACAATATCATCATCAACAACAACAACAACAGTAATAATAATGAATAGATAGCATTTGTATAGCGCAAATCCTCGCTCAACAGCAAGCTCTCTGCGCTTCACAATCTATACTATTACCCCAGCAGACCTGAGACATTCTGAAACAACCTCAACTTCCTGGGAAACATACAGTGCAAGCAGCCATTTATAGGCGCTAAAACACTAACATACTGACAAGATCTTTCGCTATGGCCGGGTACCCATTCTCACCAGGGTGAAGTGAGGAAAATTTGTTTAAAGTGCCTTTCCCAACGACACAACATCTAGCCCGCGGCTCGAACCCCCGATCATCATCATCCTCAACAATAACAACAACATCATCATCAACAACAACAACAACAACAGCAACAGAGCATTATATTTAAAGAGATATCACATTTTAGAATTGCTTCCTAAATGTATACGTTGAACATAGCTATGTGTATATTATATCATGTATATGTGAGGCAGCGTGGTGGAATCAGGCCCTCGTCAAAATAATCAAAATGAAGAAACTTGCATTTTTCTGCAGGTTTGTGAATTTTCATCTAATTTTTTGTTTTTTGGTTCAACACCTTTCATGCCCATTAAAGAACTCTTTTCTGTGTGGATTTTTCTGGAAAACGTTGATTAAAGGTACAATAAATGTAAATTTTTAGTTACCACGGACTCTTAAGCTAAGGACATAACTAATCTTTGGCGGCCATTTTCTCACTAATTTTACCTCTGAAAATAGGTGACCCCCACCTCATTTATTCGCAAATACAGTAAAACCTGTGTAAGACGGCCACCTATTGTCAAGGAGAAAAGTGGCCGTATAAGGCAGGTGGCCGTCTTAGGCAGGACTGATCAAGATGAAGAAAGAAAACCCATTCCCATCTGAGGTCCCAATCGAAAGTAGCCGTATTGTTGTTGTTTTTGCTGTTAGTTTGTATTTTGTTTGTAATTTTTATTTTGTTGCTGATTTTGCACAAGGGTGACAATAAAACGAAATGTATCAACGAAGAAAAATCGAGTGCCATGTTAAAACAAACACATGGGTCGCCACCACTCGGAGAACGAGCAACACTTCTGTCACAAGTTCATGTTGACGTCCTTTGTTACTTTGTTACTGACTGGGTAAACAGTGACCACTCATCTCACTTACGATTTGTGTATGAGTTCTGGGCGGGGCTTATGGGTTATGAGGGATCACACGCTTACCTCACCAGCAGCTGAAAATTGGTAGCCTACCTATTGGTCAACAGTGGGAGGGGCCTACGCAACATGATCGGTTGGAGGGACTACCTAACAACAACGACAGGTGATTGGATTATGAGGGCTCGCCCACAACGCCAGGGGCCAATGCACAATTTATGACAAAACGTAATGGAGTCACTAAGGTGGCCGTCTAAGACAGGTGTTTTTGCTTAGTGTGATAGGAGTTGTGTGTTAAAATATGGTGGCCGCGGCCGCGTTGGACAGGTGCCCGTTTTACACAGTTAAATTATATAGAAAAAACGCAAGGGGGGAAATGGAAAGTGGCCGTTTATACAGATGGTCGTCTTATAGAGGTGGCCGTCAGGGCAGGTTCGACTGTATCTCGATTTGTATTCAAGATAAATGGATACTTTTTTCATCCAAATAAAGACAAGTGAACAATCTTTGAGATGATACCAATAACTCTAACTGCCCAAAAATTGACGAGAGCCTGATTCCACCACGCTGCCTCACATTTTAGAATTGCTTCCTAAATGTATACGTTGAACATAGCAATGTGTATATTATATGTATATGTGAGGCAGCGTGGTGGAATCAGGCTGAAACCATCCATTTATCTAGTATGCAAGTCGAGATATTTGCGAAAGAAGAAAGTGGGGTCACCTGTTTTCAGAGGTAAAATAATTGACAAAATGGCCACCAAAGACTAGTTATTTCCTTAGCTTAAGAGTCCGTGGTAACTGAAAATTTACTTTTTTTGTGCCTTTAATCAACGTTTTTGAGAAAAATCCACACAGAAATGAGTTCTTTAATGGGCATGAAAGGTGTTGAGCCAAAAAACAAAAATTTGATAACAATTCATAAACCTGCGGAAAAATTCATTTTTCTTCACTTTGATTATTTTGACGAGAGCCTGATTCCCACTACACTGCCTCACATATGTCTAAATGTTCAGGAAAAAGAATGTCTCACACAGAGCCTGGCAACATAAACGGTGCTATAGTATCGTCTAAATAGAGATTCGCTCCCATCTGACGTAATGCATACTATAAATTCCTTCTTCTTTCAAAGTTCTAGACCTATGATATTGCAATGAATTTTTCAGAAAAAAACGATAGTCCACTAGAGAGGCCGAAAGAGAGACAGAGAGGAGTATTATAATATACATCGGTATAATTTATATATACATAAGTGTCTACACATGTATGCGTATGGATAGATAGATAGATAGATAGATAGATAGATAGATAGATAGATAGATAGATAGATAGATAGATAGATAGATAGATAGATAGATAGATA